AGGAACATTTTTCTTACCACTGTTAACCTGTAAGTGGTTGCTGATTGTTGGATTGATGTTGGGTTTCTGGAAATAATGTAAAAGATTATGTTCTAGTCCTGCTCTCTGTTTTAAACTGTTATAACAACTTTTGTTGTGATATATATCCTAGGATTGGGGCTAGCAACATGTCTATGTTCTGAACATTTATTTTCACCATGACTCTTGGGAAGCTTATTTTGACTCTAAACTTTGAGTTAATCTGTTTTTTTCCCCATCTCAAGCCAAATTTCCAGACACTTTCACTTGCTCTGTGGCCAAGAGGTGGACTATTCTTCATTCTGAAACACTCTTGCACTGACAAACCTAAATGAATGCATCAATCAATATTCCCCCTCTTTGCTTTCCACGCTGCTTTATTCCCTTGTCATTTCACTCTTGGCGACAAGCAGCAAATCTTAAACAGGCAGCACAAACTGGCAAGTTAAAGGAAGTATATTTTTCCTCAATTGAATACAATACTTCTGTGTCCTTATTTGCCACGGGGCTTTGTGAACATCTGTGAAATCTGTCTTGTTAGCAAATCAATTTGTAGGCAGACAAACCGGAGGTCATTCACGAGTGTTGCAAACAAAACAAATCATCATTTTTGTTCCTTTCCTGAAGAGAATACAGAACAATATGCCTTTGGATGAAAGCTTTCAGAGAAACAACATTGTCCACTATTCACAGAGAACTGTATTGACAAATTAAGTTATTTATTCCAGCTTGTAGCTTGTATTTTCATTCAAACTCTAGCTGTAAGGCTCCTGGATGATAAATTTGAAGTACTTAATTGATGATGCGTTCATGATAAGAACATATACGCTTTCACAGTTGCAGAAGACTTCTGAAAAACTCCAGATATTTGCAGGAGGAGCTGTATGTATGAACGCAAACAGCCACATTTTTCACTCTGACTTCACTTGCAGTTTCTCCTGCCAGTCCCCTGGTATTTTTTTGCAGCAATTCCGAAAGAGCTAATGTAAGAACGTAGCAGGTTATAATGCAGAGAGTAAGAGAGGGTGGTGATGTTTATATACTGTATTACTGCTGCATGGTGCATAGACTGTATGCTAGCTACGATCCCCGTGCATGTAATTAAACGGCTGCATTATATTTTCTGTTCATCAGTGTGTTCTCCATTCTTTTATTTATAGTGGTATTCTATTGGACTACATGTTGCATTGATATAAAGGTAAATATTCTCAATAATAGCGTCGTATGGCGGACTCTGTGAAAACATCTACTGTGTAATATATCTGTGAAATTTCACTTTAACATTACATTTGGTGTGTGATTGGCCGTGAAGTAGAATGTTGACAGGGTGTTGAATTGAGGCGTTGAAAAAAAAAAAAAAAAAAAAAGCATAGCTGGTTTGTGTTTTGTGACAGATCAGTGGACTATGATGAATTATTTTCATTCATTATAAGGCTTCAAATCCATTGTTGCCTATCATCACACCTGTCTCTCCCATCTGTCCTGTCCTGTTTTTTTCCCCCGTCACGTCTAACACAAACTGGAGTATTTTAACAAAAAGAAAAAAAACTTTTAGCAAATTTGTGTTCAATTGTTCCAGGGAATAATGACGCTGGACACATTTAAGGCTGCAAAGTCTGCTTGAGAATAAAGAAAGATGAGAGAAAACATCAGTTTATGAAAAAATTTTGGCATGAGAAGCTTTATTTTTCAAGGTTTTTCCTCAACCCACTCTGATTGATTGAGTTGTAATTGAGTCTTTCACTGACCCTCACTTTGGATCAGGTAAAGCATCACACCTGAGCTGCAGAAACACAACTCTGCTCTGGCAGCTTTTACTCCTGACAGGTGGGCTTATTGCAGTTGCTTTCTTCACTCTAACATGACATTTTATTGCCGTTACTTAATTCCCCCCTCAGTCATCATCCTCTGACTAACGGAAAACAGGCGGATACCTCTCCCGCCCGTCCGTCAGGCTCAGTCACAGCCGCACTTTTCTGACTCTCTTCCCTGTTAAGGCTCTTACATCCCTTTTTATGCGCTCCATCTTTCTGTACATTTATGCAAAGTTTTTACTCTCCTGATGCTGCTGAGGCAGAAATGGTCAAGATTTAAAGGATTTTCACTTTACCACCTCTACATCCTGAGCCAATACCCTAAATCTGAAGTACTTTAACAAGAGGATACATACAGATCTTTCACACTTATTGGACTATAACACGACGCATGCTCAAGAGTGTCAGTTTAAGGGAAACATTTCAGAAATATAAAGCTGTAAGAAAACTTGTAGAAACTACACTCATTATAGAGCTCTATTATTTTGGCATATATTAACCTTAACGTTGTCATTGGTTTGAGTAGGTCACTGTGGATATTAGTGGGCTTTCATTCATGAAGTGACCTTGCAGAGAAACCATAGTTTTGTCTCTCTTAGTGTCTCCACAGTCTCTCCACAAAGACATGGACTGTAATCTTCAAAATAAATCACTTTTTTTTCTCGTTCTTCTCCATTTCTTTTCCCATTCACAGGGACTCCTTTCTACTTCTTTTGAGGAGTATTAAAGCTTTTTGTAAACTGTCAGTTCACTCAAAAAAAAAAGCCCCGACAACTGACAGAAGAAATTCATGAACATGTGTCTACAAGTGTTTTTTCATCAGGTTTGTGTGTGTGCATAGATCGTTGAGTGAATACATTCAGCTTTTTCCAAAGCAGGAGTATTAATAGTGTATCATCAGTGCTTATCTCTCAGCTCAGATACCCTGACAGGCCTCCAGAAGGAGAGCCATGATTGTAAGGAGAGAAGAAAAGACTGAATCAGACTTGTACAGATGTTTTGGCAACTATTTATTCAACAGTTTAAATTTCATACTGTACATGAGAACGGACCTCTTAAATCAAAAATAAGAAATCCCAAAGACAATGGGAGAACTACACCTCAGTGACGGTGCTAAATATGTGGAATCAAGCTCCCAGTACAGCTCGATTTGAAACTCATTTTACAAAAGTACATCAGAAGCTGAACTAGAGTGTGACTAGCTTTGAATCTTTACCTTACTGTGGATATTTCGTGTTTGGTGGGCGATCCCTTCATTTTAAGTCTGATACATGAAGATGTTTGTTGCTACCATAGACTGTAAAAAAAAAAAAAAAAGATGGACGGCACAACCGCTCCTCGAAAGTGAAGCCAAAATATTTGGAGCTCCCCCCTGCTGAATGGCTGCAGTATAGGTCACAAGCTCCGCCTCCTCCATGTTAACAGACAGGTCATAGGTCAAACTATAAAATTAAAATACAAATCATATTCATTTTTTCTCACACACGGTCTCTGTCGCCATAGTTAGTTCTTATCATGCGTATCTATGTCCAAGTGTAGGCGTTTAGTTTTAATGAGTCATTTCACGCTAAAATGAGCAGATGTAACATCATGTTGAGGAACGCAGCTGCAGCAGCGTTCCTTATACCAGAATAGCAGAGTACAGGAGGAATTGTGAGAGGGGTAGGATACAGAGACTCACACAAGAGTCACTGAGATTTCCATAACTGTAAATGTGTGTGCTCAAACTGACACAATAATCTTTAATGTTAAGGACGGGCTCTTCTCTGTTTTATCTGTTAGTTAAACGTGTATTTTGTTTAACCAAAGAGGCTGTAAGTAAATTCTGTGTCTAAACCAAATCAGATCCCTTCTGCACATATCTTGGCTCTGAATGTCGTCGCCAGCTCATTATGACAGGACCCTTCACATGGTGGTACTTTGGCTTCATTTTTGTACAAGGGAGGAGATGGAGACGTGTTGTCCATCTTGTCAATGGTTGCTACAATGGTGACATAATGGTCAAAAACACTGAACTGCTCACACACCATAAGCTTAAATTATAACAGCGTGTATAAACACAACTTCTATCACTCTTGAAACTGTTGGTTATTTGCAGCATATTTCTAAATTGCAGTATTTCAGTCAGTAGCAATTCTGATATATATCAAAGACAGCAAGATGACAGAATTACTGAAGAATCACTGAATAATTTTTATTAACATTGTGATAATCTGAAACTCAACAAAATACATGGTGTCAGCATTCAGGGACAAAGCAGAGTGAGAGGTGCTCACATGTCCCTGCTTCAAGACAGAAAACAAACAAGAAAATCACACACAAAAAAAAAAAATCTCGAGATGAAACATATTCCTGAGATGCAAAACAAAAGATATCAAGAAAGAAATATCAGCACTAAGTGTGATTGGGTCACATGTAGCTGTCATCGTCGGGACAATGTGGAGATTGGGCTGTTTGATTCTGGTGTCAATATTGCAGAGGGGGGGGGGGGGGGGGGGGGGGTCAGAGGAGGCCTGATAGGACTGAACCGAGCCATGTCATGCTATCATCACTGCAGTGGGGAACGAAAGCCAGTACATGTAAAAAAAAGAAAAAAAGGAAATAAACACTGTTAAACAAAGAAGATATTTCTAGTTGATCGGGGCCTCTAATTTCCTGATAATGGAGGCCATCACCATGAGTTTGGGGCCAAACGCATACGCTTCTGTATGCCAAACTTTCTATATAGTACAGTGCGCTGTGGTGAATAAGGTTGTAGCTGTAGCAGTTTGGAAAATCTTCTATAATCACCAATCTAATCCTCTTAACCCCTTTCAAAAAGAAGCCGACTGTATGGAGGAGGGAAGGAGCAAACAGGAGCTGCAGAGTCACAAGGCACAAATGAAAAGCTTCAAAATATTTATTCCCATACGTTCTGATATGCCTTTTTTTTAAATCAGAATTGTCCCTTCCAGATAACTCTTTAGTCATGTGACATGATGTCGTTTTAGAAGAATGGATATGGGATCACTTAGCCTGCTGTTGTGATAAGTATGATTTCTGCTGCTGATGTCTGCAGATTTGGTTAACTCAATCACTAAGCAGTTCATTAAAAGTTGAATTTGATATGCGAAATAAAGTAATCGACCAGTGTTGGAAAAAGGAAAAAGTATGGAAGCTGAGAATGGCCATACTTTGAACATTTTTTAATGCTGTTTTTTTCAATATCCCAAGTTTATGATGGTATATCAAGACAATAAAGATAGAGAGAAAACAAATTTACTGAGATAACAACTTCATGAAGACAAAAAAATGACCTCAGAACAGAATTTATTCATTTAGAGTGAGTCAAGGCATGCATTTGTGTTTTTGTTGTTGAAGTTACTTCACTGGAGAAATTCATCTGACATCTATCTCTTACGCTTAGCAAAGTAAATGAGCCTTTTTGAATAGGCTGTCTATTCTGATAGACATTGAAATTAAAAAGGGGAGAAAAATTGTTTTGTCGTTGTTTTGTGATGATTACAGCTGGATTAGCTTCAGATAACAAAGGATGATTTCTCAAGATGACAATGTGATTAACGTTGATCTCCAGACCACTGTCTCTTCCTTTAGTATAAAACCTAAAAATACATCGCTATTTGTGTGGATTTTGTAAAGGGCCTTTGTGTGCCAACATCAATTTGAAATAATTAACAAATCTGAGCGTAGTAACTTGCTAAAATCACTGCCTCATCTGTCTTTGTTTAACTTCAGCTGCACCTTCAAAGTGGGTTTGTTCAGACTGAAAAGACATCAGACTAAAAAAAAGTGGACTCCTGATACTCCATCCACGTCAGAGCTAATGTACTGTTTTTCAACCATGATGAAATTAGAGGCCTGTGATGTTATGGAAATCAACCAAACAGATGCGTGTTGGTGAGCAAAGAGGCAACAAGTTTAAAGCTTAGTTTCAACCATCGAAAAACAAAACGTACAAGAACGACTGATAATAACTGACCCCAAGCTGTCACAGAGCCACAGACTATCATTGTCAAATAGTGCATGATGGTATGAGCCAGGCTGTTAGAACAAGAAATAAAATAAAAAAGGTTCAGGTTTGGTCTAACAATCATACAAAGCCATTTGCAGCAAATTAGCTCATTACTGTTATGTCAGAACAGATATTTACATGTGGTTTTTAGAAAGATTAAAAAAAAAGAAGACATTTCACCATTTAATAAGGAATATCCATCAAATTAATCAGAGTGCATAATTCAGTAAATGGCACGTGTTTCATTTCTAACATGAACCCCGACTCATCAGCGCAACCTGGTTATTAATGAGTGTTCATCTGATGCCAAACAGAAAACAGCCCACTTCTCTGACTTCAGAATCAACAATGGGATTGGACCAATTGCCTTTTTTTTCTAAGATGGATACATACAAACAAACAAACAAACAAACAAATAAAATAGATACCTTCGCTGAGTTAAGACACAATGAAAAGAACTAGATAGAAAAGTAAAAAGACATTACAACATTTTCATTTATGCATCTATACACACGTGTGATACAGAAGGTTTCAAAAGACCAGAGCCAGACTAGAACCCTTTAGTCTGGATCTACTGAAGGTTTGCGGTGAGAATTAAACCAGTTAATAGTGCCCTAATGATTGAAGCGCACTAGAATGGTTAAAAATGGAAACTGTGGCAAAGCGTCTGAATTTTAAAGCAAATAACTTCCTATGTGAACTGTGATACACAACAACCTAAAGTCTACATCAGAGGTGACAGGTCTAAACTGACGCGATCGATTTTATGATTCCCAAACTCACTCAGGCAGTCATTGAGTTACGACGCAGAGAGAGACCTTACTCGCTGACCTTATTTGCATAATGTTGTAAATTGGCCGTCGAATTGGAGACAGCTGGGCCCACTATTTTATTGCCCTTGGTAATAATTTGCTCCCTCTTAGCAGATTAGTGCCTTGCTTTAAGTCTTTAGTTCCAGAGGCCACAGTGTTCATCGCTCGTTCACCGGAGAGGAAATCAAACACATTCCAGCAAAATGATAGAGGACGAACAGCGGGGGAAACATGAAAAGAAACAGAAATTCTAAATGTGGATATGTTTTGTGTTCTTTAGTGTGTATTCATATTTCATTTCATTACTTGTTTAAATGTGTTTTATTTCCAATTTGTATTTTAAGAATTAGGTGACACGAGATTCTTCATTTTCTTTTATGTTTTGTCTCTTTTTTTCTTAGATATATAAATATTCTACAACCGAAATCCTTCTGATCTGTAGCACCAAACAGCACGCCAAAAACACAATATTCCTCCCAAATAAGTTCCAAATAGACTTCCTTTGTGGCCTCTTAAGAGTTCTTCAATTCCAATAAATTAAACATGAAAAAGAACCAAACAAAACATGCTAATGTGTATTTCCAAAGTTTAGTTTTCACTCATTATATACATGCCTTGTGCCAAAACAAAATACATTGGTTTAAAAGTTTCCTAATAAGAATGATGCAATGAAAAATGATTTAAAAAAAACAACAACTAAATAGAAATTGGCTAATATACAAATTTGAAGAGATCCAGAATTGAACAGCAAATTGTCACAATCAACCACATTTTAGCAGACACAAAATACAGCAGGGAGCTTAGAACCATTAAAACCAAAAATATTAGAAACATTTCTTTTTTATATAAAAACATGATTTAACTTACATTTTCATGGAGATGCGCTCTATTTTTCTTTTATCTAGAAGTGAATAAAAGACTTGTCGTCTTGTCCTTGTCGTCTCCTCCACTACCAGTGTGAATAAAAATAACCTTCTCAAGGCGATCTGGTTGTTGGCAAAGGAGCACAGATACTCAATCCGACATGTTTGTGCTTCTCTTTTTTTTGTCATCAGTTTGAAGTTGTTTTTGGGAAAGGAGACCCCTGCAGATCTATGACCCAGAACTAACACCTTATTTCCCTTGTTTGTTTTGGATTTGCTAAGAACCCCATGAAATGGAAATCAGAGTCCAGTTCATGGAGATTGGAAAAATGGAGAAAAACAATGAGCAGTTACTGTATGTAGATTCCAAGATGGGACTTAACCTCATGTTGGCCGCATCAACAGTTTAAATAAACTACAAGATTCTGGTTGAATTGGAGGTGGCAATAACAACAGAAAATGTGATTTAAGGTCACACTGATTTGTATTACTGTTTCCATTAAGTAATATTATGATTGGATGCAAATGTATAGGCCAGGAAATGAACAGAAATGTGGTCATAAACTGCTGTAGAAAGCTGCCTGGACCTCAAACATACAAGAGGTTTCAATCAAACGTACATTATTGAAATAATTAAAATTAATTTAACAGCAAATTTCCAATACATACTGAGTACCTTTTGTATCCCGTTTTTACTCCTTACTGTACATGTTGTTGGGTCCTTAAGCCTTAAAATGATCCCAATGTGATATAAACAAAAGCAAAATGATCCAAAGTGAAAAGCTAAACTCATTTCAATACAATTTATACAACTTTAAGAGCGAGGAGAGCGACTCTTCCTGTACACCTGAACCCTTGATGTGAATCACAACCTAGTGTTCGCTGAAGGTGGTGGTGTTTTGCTAAACTGCAGCCTGGACAGTGCAGGAATATACAGACAAAAGTACATCATGACAGCAGGTTTAGCAAATGGTTTTTATACTTGATTGAGTTTATTTGATGGATCTAAGCATCTGTGTGTGTGTATATGTGTGTGTGTGTGTGTGTGTGTGTGTTCTCTGCTCTAAACAATACCACACAACCCTTAATTACCTCTACCCTAAAAGTAAGAAAAAAAAAATCATATTATACACTTATCTGACAAACCTTGCTACAGTGTTACACAAAACCTTCTCCTTATCTTACAAGGGTCATTAATTACAAGTCTATTTAGAGAGGGGCCGGGGGGAAGTGAAGCATCTAAAAGTACCGTATTCAGTGTGATAGACATGTATAAGGCGTAAACAGCAAAGATTCTCATTCAAATAAAAAAAGACGTAATCAAAAGCCGTGAGCTAAGCAATGAGACGATGGTTCGGTTAACCATCTTAGAAGAAGCATTTACATTGCAACCATACATGAAGGCATTGACAGGAGTTCAAAACTGTGTTTTTTAGGCACCGTGTTGATGTGAGATATGATATGTGTTTGTGGTCGTGTGTGAACAAAGGGGGGTTTTGTACGTGTCTGGGTGTCGGAAAGAGGGTCTCATGTAAGAAGCAGACAGGGTAGATTTACAGACTTCCAGGCATTCACGTCGAAGATGAAGGAAAAAATATAAGGAAGTGTGGGGGGGGGGGGATTTCAAGCTGCCTGTGATCACCGGCTGCCAAGAAAACACAAAAGAAATAAAGATGTAAACGATAGAAATGGGCGAAACAAAAACAAAAAAAAAAAGAGGTAAAACCAGGAAAAACACTCGGGGACCCTCTCCATCTGTGGACTGCCTGCAGATCCCTCGTTGACCAGCGGGGGCAGTGTCGAGAGGTGTAGAGAAAAACAGGGGGAGACGGAGAGAGAAAAATAGATACAGAGATTGAAAGAAGGGGAGGAGAGAGCTGGGCAGCACTCCCCCTGCAGTCTAAATGAAGTATTCTTTCTTTTCCTCTGCGTGTGCGTGGTTGCCCTCGGCGTTGATGATGGCTGTGTCGGCGTCGGGTGCATCGTCCGCTCCTTTGGCCTCGTTTGTCAAGTATGTTCCTGAGGAAGCAAGAAGAAAAAAAAAAACTTGCATCAAGGAAAACAAATACGGAGCAGCACTGCATGGTGTTCTTAGCCTGCGGCGTAAAACACGTCTGAAGACAACATCAGTAATGCTGCATAATTCATATATAGAGTGATGAGGAGCGAGGATGGTGCGGGATATGTAAATACAGCAGAGAGTAGATGTGTAAAACTCTCAACAAACAGATTTATTGTTCTCAACAGTGTCAGACAAGGCTTTGAGTTGCGCTTCCAAATAACGCAATGCAGCCCTGAATTTTAACTCTTTTTTTTCTCGCGTTCGTGTCGGAAAACGACTATTAACTTTGAACCCCAGGAGATACTTTTCGACGTTTCTCTTTTCTTTGGTCCCTCTCCTCTTTCTCTCTCCCGCCTTGTATTACCGATATCGAGGCATGACATATTTAAAAAGAGGGTTGCACAAACATGGAATCCTGCTGGATGTAAGCCATACTATTAATGCCGTAGGGCAGTTTCTCTGCAATAACATGTGGAATAGTAAACAGGAGGTTAAAGCAGCCATTTACTCAGTAAGCTGAAACTTTTCTAGCCTGAGATGTGTTAGCCATCTGGCAAATGGCATTTTCATAAGCATGTCCATGGCAGAAACTAATCAATATGACAATTGTAGAAACCCATTTAGTCTTTTATTAAGTTTTTGGATATCTCCACATTGCACATAAAAAGGTCATGTTTGTTTCCTACATACAGTTTCACACATCAAGGCTCTCTCTCTCTAAATCAAATATTGATTTCAAAATACAATATTTCATTCTTACATTTAAAAAAGAAAATAAACTAAAAACCCTTTTACACATTTTGTTTGTATACCATATGTGCAGGACTTGAGCCAATATTTGTTTCCTCCACTGCAGGTATGTTGTACTGTACTGTAACTTGGGAATTATGGAGGAGCTGTTAGGTCTAACTGTACAAGAAGGACATGCTCCACTCGTTCCAAAAGCATTGAAAGACTCAGGTCTGGTCCTCTGTGGTTTTACCTTTATGCCTGGCCAGGTATCTTCCCAAGACGATGATTAAACACAAGGTGACAAAGACCACTACAGCCACCACTCCTCCGATCAAGGCATGGTCAGTACCGTGCTGCCCCACAGCATTTGGATCTGTGGAAAGAGAGACAGACAGAGCGAGAGACAAAGAGAGCAGATGAAAGTGCCGTTTGGTGAGGTGAGGGAGCGAGGGCAGAGGGACAGCAAAAGAACGGACAAAAAAATAAACACAAAACAGAGCATGGAGGAAAAAGCAGATTATTTCCAGCTCGTTCCTGCTCTAATGAGCTGCTGTCATTCCTCCCTCTTTTCACATCGTGCAGTTAGAGCAGAGCTGCCTCGCTCTCTGAGAATAATAAAATGCAGAGAGAGAGAGAGAAAGAGAAAGAGAAAAGGACATCACATTGACACAAAGAGTGGCCAAAGGCAGACACACATAGGGCCTGCAAAATGAGGTATAAAGAGAATGAAAGTGGGGGAAAAAAGTGAATAATTCAGGATCACCCCTGTGGTGCTCCAGGAGTCCCAAAAATGCAAACCAGGGAGACAGAGGAAGAGAAGTGCACAGTAAAAAAAAAACTTATAGAAAATAAAAAGAACAGATCCATGTTTTTCTTTTTCTTTTTTGATAGGAATCATTGTTGTCAGGAAAAAACAAACAAATTGGGTGTAAGAGAGATGCTACAGGTTTCCTGGCTGTTCCTAGCAGTCAGAGTGATAGGGGAGTCATGAAAGAGTGAAGAATCTGCATAATGAGGCCGTTCACGCTTCATGCAAAGACCCATCAAAGGTTTCCTCTGACTTCAACAATAGCTTATATCCTTTATTCACCCATATTTCTCCTTTTCATAAAGTCTGGCTTGCAGGCTATTCAAGGTAAGAGTGGAGACCTGACACAAACCGAGCCCAATGGGATGGATAGAAAAAAAGTGCAGCGGTAGATGGGTAACAGAATAGTGTCTATTATTCATATCAGTCCCTGACACCTGAGAAATTAGCGCTCATGTCATTATCCTCCTCCAAGTGTCATATACAACCCTGCCTGTGTGTGTGTGTGTGTGTGTGTGTGTAAGTATATGTGTGTCTAACATTAATCCTACACATTTGACTCTTTACATGACAATAGCAATCATCATCAGGATTTTCTATCAGTGCTCACTGAACCATGTCTTAGAATTTCAAACACCATAATCCTGTACAAATAATAATACATCATTCTATGTTTACTACCATACACCAGAAATACCTAGACAAATTCTTTGTATGTGTTAGCCAATGACTGTATATAAAAGATGGACAACGCGTCTCCTCTTCTCCTTGTTGTACTAAGTGAAGCCTAAATTGCTGGGCTGGTGTTACCATTTGGAGCCAGAGTCTGGACATTAGAGATATGCTGGTTTAGCTGTAGTATTGAAGACCTGCCTCCACAGACTCTAAAGCAGAACTTCTTGTTTTCACCCACAGCAGGCAATCATTGTTATTGAAAGTTTAGAAACTTTGAAATTGGCTATGTCACCTGTTGCCGTTTCTGCTCTACTATGTTGTTCCTGTACAGAACAATGCATTTGTTTACATAGCTGTAAATCATGAAGTTATAACCTCTTTTTATACCATCAAGTAACTCATTAGAACCATTAAGGAAAATCTACACACAGACACAAATCATCATGATAAGGAAATACTATAATAAGATTGATGTATTAGACCTGTATTTTGATTTTATAGGTTGGCCGATGTTACATCTGGGAACATGGAGGAGACAGAGCTTGTGACCTATACTGCAGCCGGTCACTAGGGGGCAATCAAGCTGTATTGGCTTCACTTTTGGGGAGCTGTCATGTGGTCCTTCTATTTATACTGTCTGTAGTAGAAACCCTGATTCTTACTTTAAATCTAAAGTGGCCTCATGATACTTCAAATATGGCAAAGTCAGAGCAGGGTTAGCATTGATAAAAGGCAGGTTTAGACATGCAGCACACATCGTATTTCGACTCTGTTTCTCTTCAGCTTTCTTCTTTTTCTTTCTGCGTCCGCCCATGTGGCCAAATTGAACAGCTGGCCTGCTCTCGCTCCATAACTCTCCATGGTCTGAGTGACCGGGCCGTCACACTCCACTGCCTCCCGGTGGACAGACACACACTCATACAGACACACATGCTCATACACGGAGACGTTTGAGCATGGTTTTACTGTGCTGCAGTTCTGCTTGGTCAGTGGAGCAGAGAGTAGAGGAATGTTCCCTCGGCACAGCCCAGCAGGGCGAGGACTCGGGCGTTTAGTTACACACATGGCTGTGTCTCTTCACCTCTATCTGTCAGGACAGGGAGTGTTTTCTACCATCATACACACTCTCTGTCCTGCTACTACTGCACTTCAGTCTGGCTGCTACAGCCCAGTGCAGGCACAAACAAGCCATGACCAGAAAGTCGCATGTCTTTCTATAGAGCATGACACGCTTTGGCTGTGCAATATGCTGGTGTCATGTTGAAATCGTTGGGCTACAACTCAGACCTCTTTCACACTCTCAGAAAATGTCTGCTGCTACGGCATCACTTCCTCAGAAATAGATACCCCAAAATCTGACTTCTGTAGGGAAATGAAAAGCTGCTTTTACTAATAGAGGGTAATTTGTGCTAAAGAAAGTTGTTGAAAAATAATTTGTTGGAAGCTAAACTGAGGCTGATACATTAACTGCTAAGGTCTTGTCACAGCTTTGCATGGTGATTTCACAAAGTAGCAATTCTTTGCCACGTACTAAACATATCCATCTGGGTAAGTTGAGGATTTTCTAAGGACTTCTAATGCTTGTTTTTGTTTTTTTACATGACTCTACACAACAATGTTTTAGCTACTTATAGGCTAACAACAAGTATTACTGCGCTAGCTAAACATTTTACTGGAAACTTGATTAATTGGACGTTTGAAGAGGGTTATGTGTGAGAAAGTCGAAAAAAGGGTACATAGAGTTACAAAGTCTGATAAATTGTCGAGCAGGAAGTCCCTTGAGTCAGTGTCGGTAAAAATAAAATAAAATAAATAAATAAATAGGCTAGCAACTTGAGGCTATATTCGCTGCTCCTAGCATCTGACAGCCATGTTGGTGGTTGAGCTGCATTGTTGGTAATTTAGGCCAGATTTTGACAAGGAACATTAATGTGTGGATTATGAAGATGGAGCTATGGGTCTGAAATAAAGTATAAAGTTAAGTAAAGACATCTTGTCACTAAATCTTTTTTTGATTGTTTCAATCTCTCCATCGTCATGAGTCTGTTACGTGATACAATTGCAATGCTAAATCAGATCAGTAGCACTCATTTAAGTCTTCTAAAATCGGTTGAGGTTTTGATAACCAAGATCAGACATTCAGAAGTGGCTTCCACTAACTCATGAAGTCACTAACGGCATGTGAATACTTTTCATGGGGGCACTTTAAAAACATGGTCAATCTTCTGTGTTCTTTTGTATTCTGTTCTAGTTCGCTGCTGCTCACGGAGGGAGAAAAATACAGCAGGGGCGTCAGAAGAAACACTGACAAAGGAAATGAAAACATAGAGATTGATGGACAGGAAAAAAAAAGGTGAAATTTCAGTTGGAGCGAAACAGGGGGGTAAAGACGACAAGGAGGAGAGGGATCTAGAGAAGAGGGTAATACATTTTTATAGGTCCAAAACAGATTATCTTTTAATAAGGGCACATACATTCTTCTCTGTGTGATTTAATATGAGAGCGTGGCAGAGCAAACTCCTCTTTTAATATTTATAACACTTTCTTGTCGCCTGGCCTGGTGAGTTGGGCTTCTTTAATAAATTAAAGGGGTTCAGGGTTTCTGTGAGCCTCTTCTTCGCTGGACTGAAGTAAAAGTGTTGCTCTTGAACTGGCCCACTAACTCCTCATCTGATCTGTTTCACTGAAGCTGGTCCCATATGGACTAATGTGGAAAGGACATGTTAAAGGGACATCTCAGAAGGATGTGTTCAGGCTGGAAATGAAAAAAAAAAATTAATGTCCTATCTTATCTGTTCAGATTAAATGACATGACTCATTATGTCCCATTTCTCAAAAGAATGAGAATCCGAATAACCTTCAAAATAAAAGCACCTGTTTTTTGTAAGTAAAGCTTTGAGAACGCTTGAGTCTTCAAGATGAAAATGTGACTAAACTTAACCATCTGCTCATTGGTTCTAAAAGAATAAAAAGCAGATTTGAAGAGGAGCTATATAATAGTCCAAGTGAAAGCTCAAATATTCCATCAAGGGCTAAGCTGGAGGCAAATGATGAGCCGACAAGAAAAGTCTGCCCCAGGCTTCAATCGGGTCATCACCTCCGCTTTAAAGCGGCCTGATCCGAATGTAACGTCGGCAAAATTGTACATTAACACTGAACTCTGGTTTCATCATCTCTGCATAAAAAAGTGAAAGAGAAATCTATTAAATATCTAAGAGGGGTTGCTAACTGGAGTGCCAGAGCAGTCTGAAGACCACGGGTGTTGAAATAGCTGGTTTGGTAAATTAAAGATTAGTGGAACTACAAAGAAAAAAGGAGAAGATGTTTCTGATGGGAAATTAATTCAATATAAAGAAAGTTGCTCTTATAGTGTGAGAATTTATAACTTGCAGCTCTGACATCTGCTCCACTAAGAGTCTGTTTAAACTCATTACTAATGCACATTTTCCAGATTGTTTTAAGCTGCAGTAAGCAAATATTGAAAAAGTCTTCACTCTTCCTCCATGGCAAATAAAAATATATTTTTTGGCTAGTCAGAACTGCATGACTCTAAACTGATGGCATAAAACACATTTCTCATTCAATATCTTCTGTATTATGATCTGCCTATTTATTGCTAAAGGATCTCAAGTTAGTGCAAAACTATTTATTTACAGTCATTGCACACAGCTGGCAGGATATATATGCAGTTCTAAGATAGTTTACACCTTCCTGAGAGAGTGCTTCAAATTGTTTGCTCAATCCACAGATAACAAACAGAAAATAGTTCTTCATTTAAGATGCCTATGGTGAATCACTTTGTCACTGAGTGTTTGTTTAACAGGTCATTTACTAAATGTCTCCATGTAACATGTCTTGATCTCACTCTACCATGTAGTTTATTGTCACAA